TTCACGAAGATGTGGACTCGACTAGCTAAGAATGTCTCTGATACCACTGTTACAATCCAAATCCAAGAGTCTCAAAAGAACACAGAATATCAAAAATGACCATTAACATCAAGATTCGATTATTTTGGGCTTAGAACATCATTGTTTGTACAAAATGAAAACTCCACAAACCTAACCCCAAATAGCTCGAACAGATCAATGGACCGAAAAACCAAACTTAACTCTGATTTCAACTTCTAAACCTTTAATCGAAGAATCACAAAGACTCAAAGTACAGATTAACACCCCAAAGACCAGAAGTTTAAGGGATTTACATAAAGTACACGAAAAAGAAGACTAAAGGAATACGAAGTGACATGAAGAGATAGAGAGAAAACCCAGAAGCTTCTCAAACAAAATCAGAGATGAAAAGTCACGTAGGACAGCCACTCAGGTAGCATTTATATTTCCATTCCATCAACGTAGATTTCAATAAGGTGATCTAACTGTCCAAAGCAGCACATGTGTTGTCCAAGATTGGAGCCGATTTTAGGCCCATTTCATTAAGTGTTATCTGGCAATGGATAAGTAAGCCGACAAATGAGGAAAACCCAATTTCATCATTTCCCAAAGGGCTGGGCCCAACTTAATTTGGCATGAGAGTACAATACAATTTTGAAAGAGTAGGGCACAAAAGTGTGGAAACGTTGTATAAAATTTTTATTTTTTATTTTTTTATTGTAAACTGATAAGTGTGTTTTTGCACACTTATTTAGATCACAAACATGACTTAATTACGAGCAAAATATTTAAATTATAACTTAATCTCATTGACTTCATGCAATGTAGGTATTTCTATGAAAATGGTGGAATTCAGGAGAAAAGAGCCGAAAAATGACTAAAATGGAGCAAAGTGATAGTTCAAGGACTAAGGATGCAAATATTCAAAAGTAGAACTAAAAGGCAACCCGGGAATGCAAATATGCTAAGTATGAACTTAAAAGCGATACAAGATGATTGGAAGAAGAAGGAATTACAAAGGGACTAAAATGAAGAAAAATGAAAGTTCAAGGACCAAAATAGACATTTTGCATAGTTGGTAGCACTATCCCTCTATGCGGTCGTATAGAGGCCTCCCGAGAATATTTTCTCAAATTTTTTTACTCTATGGGACCTCATAGAAATGTACTATGCGGTCGCATAGAACAAGATTCGGGGTTGATTCTGCAGTTTCCTTATACGATTGAAACTCTATTGGTAACCTAATTTTCACGCGATATAAATACCAAAGACATCCAGAAAGAGGCAGAACATATTGGAGGTAGAAAAACACTCATTGGAGAGGATTTTGAGTTCAAGAACGAAGATTTACATTAAGAGCTTCAAGATTTTTCAAGATTTCATAACCCGGTGATGCCTTTTATCTAAAATCTGATGTATTCTTTTATTTTAACCATGTTAGGCTAGATTTTCATGTGCTAGCAGATTGATGTATCATGTAATTTGATCTTTAATTTTCTAGTTTTGCAATTTGACATTAAGACATATTTCTATTGTTTTGAATAATTTATATGCAATTATTGTTTCAGCAATTAAGGGCCCGTAATTGTGTGAGTTTGGTGATTTATTCTTGCATTCGAGAGAATTGGAATATGTTCGACATAATATAAATCATCGTAGGGTTCGATAGGGGATAGAAATATACCACTATGCCCTACGTGAATCTTTAAGTGTTCATAAAACCGCATGCATTTTTATATATGCACTTATCATAAAAATATAGGCTGGTGGTATGTAGAAATAGGTTCGGTACATCTCGAGAGAGAATATTGGATAGACTTAGGAACATTGATTCGTCACAATTGAAGTGTGTTGTCACATTGTGAAACTAGGGTTTTAAAGTGATAATTACATGGAAAATCGTGATCCTAGTGTGTTTAATTTCTATTGATTATAATAAACGTGCGTCCTCGACATTTGAATTCATTCTAGAGTGTTAAAAATATTGTTTTGTGTATTTAATTTGAGTCAATCATAAAAATTGCATAATTAGGATTTTCTTTCCAAAATTAGGGTTTTAATTAAGTTCACATTCACTTTAGTAAATCAGTTTCGGTTAAGGCGACGATAGGTAAAATTGAACTAATCAATCTCTGTGGGACGATATTCAGACTTATTTAATCCACTTTATTACTTGTTAACGAACCGTACACTTGCGATAGTTTTAAATCGAAAGAAATAATTTCGTGAACAAGTTTTTGGCACTGGTGCGAGGATTGAGTTTAGTTTAATTTTATTTCTCGAGGCACTAATTCGAACTTCAATTTCTATTTTGCTAGAATAATTTTGTTTTTGTTTTTATTTTAGGTTAGTATCCCTTATTTGTGTTTTAGTTATTTAAATTGTTTGAATCTCAGTGCTCGTACTGGTGTTGTTTCTCAGATATGCATGCCACGATCGACTGGAGGAGAATTGATTTTAGCTGATCCTGAAATCGAGCGCACCTTTCATTGACTACAAAGAAATCACCGAGAAGCACAAGTACAAATGGCTAACAAACTAAACAATCCCATTATTCAAGCTAATGAAGGAGAGACAATGGACGAAGGAAATGAGATTCTAGGAGATTTCTTGACTCCTCAAGTGATTCAAAGTCAATCCAGCATAATGTATCCACCGTTTGGGCAGCCAAATTTCCAGTTGAAGACCAATATAATACAGCTATTTCAAAATGGACACCAGTTTTATGGCAAAGCTGAGGAGAATCCACATACACACATATCTCCATTTTTGGATATGTGTCAACATTTCAGATATCAAGGGATTTTGGATGATACTATTAGGCTAAGATTGTTTTCACATATGCTGCGAGATAGAGCACTTGAATGGTTGGATTCACTTCCGATTGCGAGTATCACTACATAGAACAAGTTGGTACACAAATTCTGCACAAAGTTTTTCTCCCCAGCCAAGATAGCGAAGCTGAGATATGACATATCAGTATTTAGTCGAGGAGAAACCGAATCATTTGACGAAGCTTAGAACAGATTCAAAAACATGCTCCGGAAGTGCCCTCAACATGGGTTTGATAAAAAAATCTAAATTCGATTCTTCTACACAGGGTTACTTCCATACCACAAGACAATGGTGGATTCAGTGTCAGATGGTTCAATATCCACATGAACAATTGATGGGGCATTGGAATTATTTGAGAGAATGGCTACCACATCAGCCATGTGGTCTTCTGAGAGGGCGATTCCAAGGAAAACTCCGGGTGTCTACGAGGTGGATACTTATTCAGCAATATCTGTAAAAATCGACTCTCTGTATCACAAGGTGGAAAGCATATCACAAACAGCACAAGCTAAGAAGAGCAATTGTGAGGAATGTGGAGCTGAGCATAAAATATCGGAATGCCACTCATACAAGGAATTGAGCAAGCAGACTATGCACAATGGGGACAACACCAACAACACAATCAATATGGAGAAACTTTCAATCCCAGTTGGAAAAAGCATCTCAACTTCTCTTGGAGCAACCAGAATCAAAATAGGTCACAGGGACAATTTCAACAACAAGAGAAGAGGCCTCAATTGGAAGATATGATAGGAAAATTCATGGAGAAAGCCGAAGCTACACTTCAAAATCAAAATGCAGCCATCAAAAATTTGGAAACTCAAATGGGATAGTTGGCCATCGCATTGACTGGCAGAATGTCAGGTAACTTGTCGAGTAACACAGAAATCAATCCCAAAGAGCAAGCCAAGGCCATTACAACTCGAAGTGGAGTACAATTACCTGAAATCCATGTCAAGAGACTGAGTGTGATTGGAGAGACATCTTCCCCTGCTGAAGAAGAGACTGTTGTAAAGGAATCAACTTTAAAGGAAAATTCATAAAAGTCACAGGATAAGGCCAAAGTCATAGTCAACCCATACGAGCCTCCGATTTCCTTTCCACAGCGGTTGAAGAAGCAAAAATTGGAGCAACAGTACAAAAAATTCCTAGAAGTCTTCAAAAATCTCTATATCAACATCCCAGTAGCCAATTCACTATTTCAGATGCCTAGCTACACGAAGTTTCTCAAAGATATTATATCAAACAAACGCAAGCTAGAGGAATGCAGTGCCAGAATCCAGAAAAAGCTCCCACCAAAACTGAAAGATCCAAGGAGTATTACTATTCCTTGCACTATTGGTGAAGTCTATTTCGATAAAGCATTATGTGACCTCGGTGCAAGTATTAATTTAATGCCTCTGTCCATTTTTAGGAAACTCAACTTGGGAGAAGCTAAAGAGACTACTGTGACACTTCAGCTGGCGGACAGGTTACTGACACATCCCAGCGGGATAATTGAAGATGTGCTTATCAAGGTTGAAAAGTTCATATTCCCAGCGAATTTTCTTATCTCGGACATGGAAGAAGACAAGGATGTCCCATTGATACTTGGCAGACCATTTCTGGTAACAGGGAGAGCATTAATTGATATTCAAAGGAGGCAGTTGATCTTAAGATTGGGAGAGAAGCAGATCTCGTTCAATGTATTCAAGGTCATGAAATTGCCAGCAGAATCAGATACTTGTTACCAAGTTGACATCATTGACAAGGCAGTACAAGAAACATTCTTACTTCACGGCCCATCTGACGCCTATAAAGCATGCTTTGCGCAATCCCAATCAGTTCAATCAGATTCTCTTGAAGTTGAAACATGTGCGAGGTTTTTGGAGACCAACCTGTCATATGCCCGAAAGAGGCACTTCGAGGAACTGGGGACGGGAAATACAAAGCCACTGCCTTCTATTCAGCAACCACCGGTTTTAGAACTCAAGCAACTACCGCCACATCTCAGATATGCATATTTGGGGGAGTCAGATACACTTTCAGTAATCATTTCAAACACAGTCAGTACGATGGAGGAAGAAAAATTGCTCAGGATACTCAAAGAGAACAAGACGGCGATTGGGTGAACAATAACTGACAGTAAAGGGATCAGCCCTTCTCTGTGTATGCATAAAATTTTAATGGAAGAAAATTGCAAGCCAAGTATAGAGGGTCAAAGAAGATTGAATCCAAACATGAAGGAAGTAGTCAGGGTAGAGATACTGAAATTACTGGATGTAGGAATTATCTACCAAATTTCAGATAGTGTATGGATTAGTCCAATTCCAGTGGTGTCGAAAAAAGGGGGAATCACAGTGGTGAAAAATGAGAAGAATGCATTAATTCCCACCAGAACAATTACGAGATGGAGAGTTTGCATCAATTATCGCAAACTCAATGCAGCTACACGAAAGGATCACTTTCCACTCCCATTCATTGATCAGATGTTGGAGAGGTTGGCTGGACATTCATACTACTGCTTCCTTGATGGATGCTAGGGCTACAATCAGATACCTGTCATACCAGATGATCAGGAGAAGACCCCTTTTACTTGCTTCTACGATACTTTTGCTTATCGTACGATGTCTTTTGGTCTTTGCAACTCTCCAACCATATTTCAAAGGCGTATGATGGCAATATTCTCCAATATGATTGAAAGGTTTATTGAGATTTTCATGGACGACTTCTCAGTTTTTGGATCTTCATTCAATGAATGTCTAGAACACCTAAATTTGGTCTTATAGAGATACAATGAGGCTAACTTGGTTTTAAATTGGGAGAAATGCCACTTTATGGTGCAGGAAAGCATTGTACTCGGGCATCGGATCTCGGCAAAAGGAATTGAGATGGACAAAGCAAAAATTTAAGTTATTAAGAAGTTACCACCGCCTACATCAGTTAAGAGAGTTCGCAACTTCTTGGGGCATGTGGGGTTCTACATGAGATTTATAAAAGATTTCTCGAAGATCACTAAGCCATTATGCAATCTGCTAATGAAAGACGTGACCTTTGAGTTTAATGAGGAATGTCTCACAGCATTCAACACTTTAAAGGAGAAGCTCATGGAAGCACCAGTAATTGTAGCACCAGATTGGAAACTGCCTTTTGAATTGATGTGTGATGCTAGTGATCACGCCGTGGGTGCAGTATTAGGACAGCGGAGGAACAAGATTTTTCATGTGATCTACTATGCAAGCAGAACTCTAAATGATGAGCAAATCAATTTTGTCACCACTGAAAAGGAGCTGTTGGCCGTAGTATATACATTCGACAAATTCAGATCATACCTTGTCGGGTCTAAAGTCATCGTCGACACAGATCATGCTACATTAAAGTATTTGATCACAAAGAAGGATGCAAAGTCGAGATTGATTCGTTGGGTGCTATTGCTGTAAGAATTTGATATCGAGATACGAGATAAGAAGGGCAGTGAGAATGTAGTAATGGACCACCTCTCCCGATTAGAGCCTGGGGAGATAGAAGAATTAGTGGACATCAATGAGATCTTCTCAGATGAGTAGATGTTGAGAGTAGATGAAGCACCTTGGTACGCAGATATCATCAATTACTTGGCCAGTTCCATCCCACCGCCGGACTACTCAAGTCACCAGAGAAAAAAGTTCTTCACCGAATTGAAGTATTATTTCTGGGAGGATCCAATTCTCTATAGGTGAGGGGCTGATCAAATAGTAAGGAGATGCATACCTAAGGAAGAAGTACATGAGATTCTCAAGTACTGCCACTCATCTGCATATGCAGGCCACTTTGGGGGCTTCGAAAACAGCTACACAGATTCTACAATGAAGGTTCTACTGGCCTACACTGTTTAGAGACGCCTTTGAGTTTGTCAAGAGGTGTGACAGATGTCAATGCACTGGAAATATCTCGAGGAGGAATGAAATGTCACTGAATAACATTTTGGAAGTGGAGATATTCGATGTGTGGGAAATTAACTTCATGGGACCTTTTTTCCCATTCATTCTCAAATCAGTACATCTTGGTAGCAGTGGACTATGTGTCAAAATGGGTAGAAGCAGTTGCACTGCCAACAAATGACTCAAAGGTAGTAATTGGGTTCTTGAAGAAATATATTTTCACCTAATATGGTACACCGCGAGCTATAATCAGTGACGGGGGCAAACACTTTGTAATTGCCAGTTTGAGCAACTGTTGAATAAATATGGCGTTAAACACCGTGTTGCTACCCCATATCATCCACAAACCAGCGGGCAAGTTGAAGTATCTAATCGACAGCTAAAGAGAATACTCGAGGTCATAGTGAACTCATCTAGAAAGGACCGGTCTAAAAAGCTGGACGATACATTGTGGGCTTACAGGACAACATTCAAGACACCGATAGGCATGTCTCCATACCACCTAGTTTTTGAAAAAGCGTGCCATCTGCCACTAGAAATGGAGCACCGGGCATATTGGGCTATGAAACAGTTAAATATGGACTTGAGTGTCATCGGTGAAAAGCGCCTACTGCAACTTAATGAATTAGATAAATTTAGAATGGAAACTTATGAAAATTCAAAACTCTACAAGGAACAAACCAAGAAGTGGCATGACATGCATATTCAAAAATGAGAATTCGAAGTGTGGCAGCAAGTGCTATTGTATAATTCGAGACTCAAGCTGTTCCTAGGAAAACTACGATCACGGTGGTCGGGTTCTTACACCGTCACGAAAGTCCTACCACAGGGGGCCATACAAATCAGCCATGAGACTAAGCGTACCTTCACTGTTAATGGGCAAAGGCTGAAACACTATTAGGGCGGTGACTTCTCCAACCAAAAGTCCACCATTCAACTTGGGACGCCAGAATAAAGCAGCTGCAGAAGAGTCGAGCTATCGACTATAACCTAGCGCTAGGTGGGAGGCAACCCACTGTATCATTTTCATTACTTTTAATTTTGGCATTAGCTTAGGAAATTTTGATTTTCACGTTTGATTTTTTTTAGGTTTAGGTCATTGATCATCCATGCATGTCAGTAGAATCTAAGTATCGTTCACATAAATTTCTAGGCATAGAACACATGTTCGGTAAGTTTAAAATGGTTTTGGGTGATTGGGAGTATAATTCATGCATTTCGAGACAAAATGGCATTTTCAAAAATTTAAAGGGCAAATGTGTACTAGAGAGTTTAAAGAAGGGAAATCAATTTTTGTATCTCATTTTGTTTTGTTTTATTTTGATCTTTAAAAAAATAAAATTATGTCTATGCGATCACATAGACATGGCGTCTATGCGATCGCATAGACACCAATCGAAATAAAAATTGGGGCAAATTCTATCACTATGCGACCGCATAGGATATAACTATGCGGCCGCATAGTAGTGAATCGATCATGGACTTAAGCCATGACCGGTTCACTCTAAATCACCTCCCTCTCCTCTCCCTTTGTGCATCTCTAGCACCTACATACACACGAGCACCCACATTCTCCCAAGCCCTCAACCCACAACATCAACACAACAAACACACACCAATTTTTACTCCATCACACTTTGAAGTGAGCAAAGGGTTCAAATTCTACAAGTCTACTAAAGTTTCCAAGGATGCCGCCAAAGAGAACATCAAAAGAAAAAGAGAATGTTGGTTCCGCATCTGGCACAACCTGGACTAGAGAGCCCGAAGGAAGTGTCAGGAGATTTCTATCCTCAAACACAACAACCCGTTACGCCAATGTTGTCCACGAGTGGGCACTCATCCCCGAAAGGCCAGTTAAGTTGGAAGATTTCCTCGATTTTGAATTAGTTTACTTAATTCACAACTGTGGCTGGGAGAAAGTAATTGAAAGACCGCATCCAGTGTATGAAAATCTGGTGAAGGAGTTCTATGACAACTTCAATACAGAAATTGGCACTCCTGGATCAGATCATCTACATCAAACATGGGTTCAGGGTAAATGGATTATGTTATCACCAGAAGTGATTCATGACTATTATAAGCTAACCTAGAATAATGTGGTCCCGATCCCACATAATTTCAATTGGATTGAGGTTACAGAAGTATTATCGGAACGTGAGCATGCTTGGCCTCTACTAACTGTCGATTTGTATCAGATTGATCTCACCCCATCTATCGCTATCCTATGGTTATTCATTTGCCACAACATAAAGCCCATATCCCATAGGACGACATTCATAAATCAAAAGGCGGGGTTTATCTATCATTTGGTTCGGGGAAACAAGATTGACTTGACCACATACATCTACAACTAGATACAGATTATAGACACATGGGGAGATAGGCACACTTCGCTGATTTTCTCAAGTTTGATAAGTGGGATATGTAAAGCTGCAGGCATACAAGTCCAGCCTGGGGAAGCACAAGAAAAATCAAGTCCCTATATCAAGCGCCTTACACTAGAGGCCCAGGACCAAGCCAGAGTTAAACATCAACAGAAGTTAGAAAACGAGCGCCGCCGACAGCAACAAGCTGAGGAAGGACAAGCAGCTGAGAACTTCGAGATGCTACAAGTTCATCCACCATCGGTTGACATTGATACCCAATTATTGAGGCAGATGTTTGCCACTATGACAGGACACAGTCGAAACATGCAAAGTCTTCAGTAATCATTTCGAGCAATGAGTACCACCATCTAGCAGGTGCAGAATGATTTGGCAATCAAAAGAAACTTCACATCCAATGCCAATAGTGATTCCCTTGTAGCAAGAAGAGAGATGAGTACCTTTGATGGAAGATTGGGAATGTATGTTGGCAGAATGGATGGTATACAGTGGCGAGTGAATGAGACATGGGACCGTTTACGAAGCTTGGAGACCAGGGTTCAAGCCATTCAGGTGGAGCAGACCCAGCAGTCTGACCTATTGAGAGAGATTTTATCCCGCCTTCCTCCCCCTCCTGGAGATGATGCTGCAGGACCCAGCCTTCCATCACAGCCACCATATTGATCAAGGGAGTCTTATTTACCTCATTTTGCTATTTTGTGTTCTTGTTGTTTTTTTAAATTATGCCATTTAAACTTTAATTTTTACATTGACGACAATGTACTATATAAGTTTGGGGGATGGTGGCATAATTTAAAACAGATAGTCGGCATGTAATTATTGTGCATTTATACAATCCATCGTTATTATTGACTAATTGTTGTATGATGCATGCTTGATGAGTGAGTGTTGATTATATTTTTGCATGCTTGTGTGGGCTTGATAGCTTTGCTAGCTATGATGTGATTATTGGATTGGTATAATTCATAAACTTTGGATATATTGCTGAATGGATCAACCAATACTTGTGATGCAATACTTGACATTATCTATGCACTCTATTCATGCTTGACATGTTAGGTGAATGATCGAATTTTGAGCATAAAGTAGGAAAAGAATGATAACCCTCTATTGAATTAACACGTAAATCACCTTAAGACAGTTTGAAATAGGTTGAGCTATTATTGGGAGCATTGATATAAGCGGGGGCTCCGTGCATGAAATTTTATTGTGTGGATTGCCTAGACCAATGAGGTGAAGATTAGGTGAAAATCTTAAATTGGGAGTTGGTTTTGGAAGCTAAATGTCTAGAACAATTAGGGCATAAAATTAATTTGTGAGAATAAGACACTTCTTTTCATACATTTATGACTCGAGCAAGTAAGCCTGTAAGGATATTTCAAAATTTGGTGCCTTAAGATCCACTGGCCTAGGAATCACCGGCCTAAAACTCGCTAAAGGAGTCATATAGAAATAAAGAGGGAAAGAGGTTAATAAAAAGTCATCTAATCGAGCATTTATAACTCGAGTGAATAAGCCTGCAAGGGTTTAAAACCTGGTGCCCTAAAGCCAACTTGTTTGGGAGTCACCGACCTAAAACTCGTTACATGGGTTATATAGAAAGCAAATGAGAAGATGATATATATTAAAAAAAAAAGTAGAAAGTGAGAAAAATAAAAGAAAGACAATAACATGAAGAAAAGCCCTTAGACATTTGGTTGAGGAAACTATACCTTTGAGGCGAGGCAAATAACCTATTTTAATCTTGAGTATCGAAGCAATCAAACTTGGGAGAGCCTTCACTTGTTGAAATGTAAACTTGTGATAGTGAGATTAATCCAAACTACGAGAGGGTGATGACCACAGCTATGTAAACTCCTAATTTTAAAACACAACCCCGGGATTATTGAGTGAAAAGAATAAGTTTGGAGGTTGTGTATCTCTCGAGCGAGTAAGAATACATTTGACCACTTGGGGTCGGGACTTCACCCATCATGAATATGATATATTGACATGAATTCACACACACATGTCAAGTATGCATTTAACATGTAAAGGTTGATGTCATTTTTGTACTGATAAATTTTTATAAATTCAAATACTTAGTCCAATCCTGAGCCACGGTAGGATATTGAGCCATGTTTGTTGAGAATTAAGTCACTATCTTATTTGAGGACAAAAAATAGTTCAAATTTGGGGGGGTTTGATAAGTGTGTTTTTGCACACTTATTTAGATCACAAACATAACTTAATTACGAGCAAAATGTTTGTGACATAATCTCGTTGAATTCATGCAATGTAGGTGTTTCTATGAAAATGGTGGAATTCAGGAGAAAAGAGCCGAAAAGGACTAAAATGGAGTAAAGTGATAGTTCAGGGACTAAGGATGAAAATATTCAAAAGTTGAACTAAAAGGCAACCCGGGAATGCAAATATGCTAAGTATGAACTCGAAAGCGATACAAGATGATTGGAAGAAGAACGAATTGCAAAGGGACTAAAATGAAGAAAAATGAAAGTTCAAGGACCAAAATAGACATTTTGCATAGTTGGTAGCACTATCCCTCTATGCGGTCGCATAGAGGCCTCCCGAGAATATTTTCTCAAAATTTTTTTACTCTATGGGACCGCATAGAAATGTACTATGCGGTCACATAGAACAAGATTCGGAGCCGATTCTGTAGTTTCCTTATACGACTGAAACTCTTTTGGTAACATAATTTTCACGTGATATAAATACCAAAAGACGTCCAGAAAGAGGCAGAATGCATTGGAGGCAAAAAAACACTCCTTGGAGAGGATTTTGAGCGCAAGAACGAAGATTTATATGAAGAGATTCAAGATTTTTTAAGATTTAATAACCCGGTGATACCTTTTATCCAAAATCTGATGTAACTATTGGATTTTGAAGGTCTATTATAAGTAACAAAAGCACTCCTACAAAGGGGGTGTGAATGACCTCGTACGTATTTCGATAGTTGAGTCAGTAAGATTGTGAGAACGAGAAGGCAAACTGCTTCAATTGAGTCGTACACAAGTTGATCACTATTTAATTTATCTTAAACCAGTTGACGGGAGAGTTATATTCGCAGTAGGGATTGAAAGATACTGGTACCTAGTTGCGCTCCAAGTGGATAAATAAGTCCCCACAACATGCATGCACTGAACCTTAGTTCAAAAATCCCAATTGCCTTTTGCTACTTCATCATCGAGTTATGCTTACTTGTCGATCAGTCCCCGCATTAACATGAATTATATCATAATTTTTAATTATCCATTTCTATCGAAAATAAGTGTCTACATCCTCCAACTTGTAAATGTATACTATTTAGGGCCCTAACACTACGTTTGGT